TCCCCGTATCACCCCCATTCCCCACGGCTTCTGACGCCGCCCTGGCCCGCCACTTTGCCTGCCCAGCCCCACCGTGGTTGGGGAGCCACCCCACAAACCACGGGGTGCACCCGGGGGGGAGTGTGTGTGTGTGTGTGTGATGTCCCCACGCTGTGGTGGGCAAAGCCAGCTGCCTCCCCACCCCCCTCCACCTCCATTTTCAGACCCGGGAGGGCTCAGGGGCCCCCTAAACCTGCTGTGTACCCACACACAGGGGTCTGGGTGCTGCAAGAGTGGCCTTAAGGCATCCTAAAAGGGACAGGACGCTGTCGTAGTCCCCGTTACCCTGAAATTATCCCCGTTGCAAAACTATGGTATTACACAGACAAAATACAAAGATTTAAAGAAATTAAGAGAAAATCCTGACCTTCCCCTCCTGTTCTCCCAGTTGCCTGGATCCTGGTCAGAGAGCAGCAAGGGCTGGGAAAATGGGGGACCCTCTACCCCAACCTCTCCCACTGCTCTGCTCAAATATAACCCAGCTCCCCTTTGTCTCCCCAAATTCCTCCCAGCATAGCTCACCTGGGGTGTGGATCTGACCCCCCCTCGGGGTGCGTTACCTCCTGCCCCAGCTGGACTCCGGGCTGGAGGGACGCGTTGGGCGTTAAATGGGGGCGTTAAATGGAGGAAATCGCCCCCCACGTGCACACGTGTGGGGTGAGGTTCCCCCTTTTCTCCGACTTTTTGGAGTTCTTGGGCTGTGCGTCCTCCCCGCGTGGGGAGGAAGCGTTGGGGCAAATTTTGGGGTGATGCTGGGGTCAGGAATGCGGGACGTCGGCCCCGGGCGGGGAGTTGCCACGCCAGAGCCCCGCCGGCTTGAGGGATACCCATTAGCACCATCGTCACGCGCCCCGCTGTCACCTCCGGGGCGCTGGCGGGTGCCTCCCCCGTCCGGTTGGGTAAACCGAGGCACCGGGAAATGCTTTGCCGGTGGCGCACCGGAAAGCCGGCACGGTGACGTGCTGCGAGAGGCCTCGCCATCCCCCACGTGCCCGGTTTGTAATC